GAGGGCCGCTGTCCCCGCCGGGGTCCTGCCGGCGCGTGGGGGCGGCTCTCCGCCGGGACGCGCGCCTTCCCGGCCCAGATAAGGCGGCCGTGGAGCCGCGCCGGGGACCGCCCAGCGGAGCCCGCTGCGGTCAGGCGTCCCGGGCCGGCCGCGCGGCTCTGGGGGACTCGGGCTGAGCGCAGAGGGCGCGGCGGAGCCGGGGGCCTTTGGGCGAGTGGATAGGTGAGAGCGCGGGGCCGGGGGCCGAAGGAGCGGGTGGGCAGGACTTGGGAAAGGCCGGGTCCATCCGACTGGAGAGGGTCGCGTTCCGGTGCTCCCTCCCCGCCCGGTCCCGGAGACCTCGTAAGGACCTGGAGCTGGTGTGTGAGGGAATTCCGCCCCGGGCTGGGCCCGCCTCGGCCGCGCTCGCCGGTCCCCGGCTGCCTGCCCGGAGCGCCGGTCCCTCCGGGAGCATCCTTGGGCGCTCCCGGCCTATTCTTCCTGGCTTGGGGACTGGCAGGGAAGAAACTGAAAACGTGCGTTGAGGGAGCGGCGGCGGCGTTGTCCTGCAGCTGTGAACGTTTGTTTATGTGACAGAACAGATTAAACCCGCCGAAGTGCCAAGGCAGGCTGTGCTCAAACTGACAGCTTTGGTTTGGTTTGGTTTGGTTTATCAAGAAAGGGTTTGCAACGTGAGGTCGGGGTGGAGGAATGTTCTTTAAGGAGTGAGTAGGGAGAAGGGGACGGTGTTTTAGAAAGGCAGGAGCTTTCTCCAGCCCCGGCTTTTCCCAAGTGGGAACACCGAGTTTGTAGCTCAGCCTCCCTCCTGTGCTCAGCTCATCAGGTCTATGGCTGCCCTTCCAGCTCGGGCCTCATCCGTGATGCGTGCCAGGAGGTCAGAGGAAGCCGTCTGGCTCTGTGTCACTTTTTATTACTGCTGAGCAGCGGTGCAGACCCTCCTTTGAGAGAGCCCTGGTTACCCGGGTTGTGCAGCAGCCAGACAGCTCTTCCAGGAACCCTTCGGAACTTTCTTATTCCGCCCCTATGTGCTGGCTGATCAGACCCTGAAGGTTCCTGAGCATAGCGTCCCTTACTGAAATCTGAGTTAGAAGATGCTCAGCTGAGCAGCAGCCTCCCCGGAGGCAGGGACAGCAACCCCACTTCTGATGGGCCATGGTTACTGGAAGACTTAAAGGTGGGTTGTGTCTTCAGGGAGCCTGTTGGTGACAGCTCTGCTCCCTGCTGCTGAGGTCCCCCTGTAGGGGGAGGTGTAGAGGCAAGCCTGCCTCTGTTTGTCTTGGGGAGATTGATGGGATACTTGGTTCCCAGACTGAACCAGGACCGATCCCATTGTCCCTGCTGCCAGGTGCCCACTGCGAGAAGCGGGGTCACCGGCGCTTCTCCCAGCGTCCCTGAGAGTGTGCTGGGCCATCCCTGCTGTGGCAGAATGACAGGATATTTCTGTGCATCCTCTTTTAGTACCACATGTGCCTGGGAAGAGTCGGATGGTATGCTTTCCTGTCACCTCTTCAGCAGTGGAAATCCCGAGCAGGGTTGTCGGCAGGGGACATGCTGCTGAAGAAATGGGAATAAACGCACTCGCATGCGGCTAATCATTGCCAGCGAACTGATTCATCCAATGCTGCTGAGGAGCATCTGAGTCTTTGACTGTCGTGGGGGGTTGTCAGATAAAGGGACTAGGGACAGCCTGGTACGCCTCCCTTTGTTCCTTTAACTTCTTAAAGTGACATTCTTCTCTCAGGCCAGGCAGCATAGTTATCATATCAATGCAAGCTCCTGTGTGTCACCTTTTAACTTTGGCAAGTTTTTATCTGGTACTTCCGCCACGCACAGCACAGGACTCACAGGAGTCTTAGTCCTCTGGGGTGCAGGTGTCAGAAGACAGTGACTGATGATGTGACCTTTGAGTATTCAGCTTCTTCATTTAGTATTTCTGCGTCTGCACTGACCGGTTCAATGCTACAGCTGGAAGGATACTTACAGGATACAGAACAGATCACTGCTTTCAGATCACTGGGGTTTGTGTTTGTGTTTTTTGCTTATCCCCTCTCTTAGCCCCCAGTGCTGGGGATCCAGTTCAGGGCCTCGTGGCAGAGGACTTTCCTGGCCATCGTGAGGCCTCTGTGTGGATGCAAATGACGTAGAAATCCATCAGAACTGGAAGTGAACTGGAGAATCAGCAACTTTGTAAGGGTGTTTTATGCACAGAAGAATATAAAATATGTAAGAATAAACTGCCAAAATTACCTGTACGGTCTTGAAAAAAAGAGGAGTTCAAATGCAGCCATAAACTGTAATTGACAATGAGTCATGACCGCTGTAGGGGTGCCGACTGTGAAGACAGCCTGGCTGTGCCCCTAATGATAATCATGAAAGCTCCTTCTGAAAGCCAGTCTCTCTCTGTGAGCAGAAGTCAGCCCCCATACACACTTACAGCTTTACTTATTTAGACATTATGCACTGGTGATGCCTAAATGTCTCCATTCTACGGAGCTGCACACATGAAATCATGAAAAAGATTTTTTAAGTATCAAGTTAATAGTTGGAAATGTATCTTCTATTCAGTACCTAAACTGTCAAGGGCTGCACATTGCTTGGGCATTGAAGGCCCAGCTCCAAAGTAAATAAAGACAGAGCCACAGCCAGCAGCTGAGGAGGACTGCCTGGCTGGCATACAAAAGGGCCTGGGAGTCAATCCCCAGCACCACAAATAAAATAAGCAAACCTCAGACAGTTCAATGTTTCATAAGAATAAACATTTGTCTTGTAACACAGAGGCAATTTAACATGCGGCCACTGAACATTGAAAGAGGAAAACTTTCATAGTTCACAAACGTTGGTAGGAAAGTGGAGCTATCACACGTACCGCTAGCAGCCAGGACTTTGGCATTTCTTCTATCAAGCGAAGACACTGTTTTAAAAGAATTCTTTTAACTGTGTGTATGTATGTATGTATGTAATGCTGTTTGAGTGCATATATGCGTTCTTGAGTGTAGATGCCTTTGGAGGCCTAAGTGTCAGAGGTCCTGGGGCTGAGTCCTCGAAAGAGCAGTATTCACTTTTAACCACCAAGCCACCTCTGCAGAGCCCTCCCCGAGAGACATGTTTTTAAAGCAAATGCATAGTGAAGGTGAGGGGAAGCTGCACGTGCATGAGCGGTTACTATTGGAAATAGTTGAGTGCATTCCTGTATAGTGCGGTTTTCTTACACAAGCCAATGGAAAGGTGTTCTCCTATTTCATAGATGAAAAATGCTGAAATGAGGTGAGGTCATCCACCCCTGCTCAGAATGCAGCTCAAGGATGTTGGGGAGAATGTTTCCACTCTTCCTCCCTGGAAGTTCTGCCTATTATTTGTGGTTGTGTTACAGTGTTTCACAATGTCTGAATTAGTGATAGCAGACAGCTTCACTTGTGTTTGCAAGTCAGGGCTCTGACAGTGCTGACGTCAGCAGATAATTATAGCCAGGAAAGCCAGGTAAAAAGCTCCCTCTTCGCCCTCTGGGATGCTGTGTTAATATCTGCTATCGGCTCCCTTCACCCCCTCTCTCAGCTGGCTTCCTAAGAAGGAAGCGTCTTGATCCTGTTTTGAATTGTTAGTAATAACTAGAATGAAGCCCAAATCTCTGTAAGTCCATAAAGATGAAGGTCTCCGAGTGAAGTGATTGTACGGATAGGGCCAGACGTGGTGACCTCGATAGGCGACTGCGTCATGCGCAGCTCCTCTCTCTCATGGTGTTCCAAGCAGAGAAGGCAGGTGGCAGGCTTAGGGCTTTCTAAGAGTGGCTTTCTACACTCCAGGGTGACAGTATCTGAAGGGTGACAGAGTCACTTGGTGTCCTGAAGTTTGGCAGAGGAGAGAAGGGCAGTCTCTTGAGGTGATACAACAGGCCAGGACACTTTTCTCTAGTTGGGGGACGGCATCACCCCATGGAGCGGGAGCCTGGTGACAGGCTCCAGGGGAACAGCCGGGCCACTGCTGTCTTCTTCAAGTGCCCCCTGCTTCCTTCAACCTGAAGATGCCTTTCAACCCAGCGATTGGAGAGAACCTGTCCAGACTGGATAGAGGCAGGGTCACTGAACACCTAATGCTTCAGCGATTTGGGCAGTTTCCCCAAGGCCGGTGGACATCAGCCAAGGAAGCCAGGAGCCTCGTGGTGAACAAGTAGTTTATTCACAGGAGCACTCCCGGTCCTACAGCGCTGGCTGTGTGCGCGCTTCATTGATAAACGGGAGATTTCCAAAATGGTTCTATTGCTGATTCTGTGGCAGTTTTCCCCGGTAGCAAAATGTGGTTTGGGTTTGGGAAGGTATGTGTCTGTTCGCCTGCTTTGAGATGCCCCCTGGACCCGGATATCTGTCTGCTGTGGTCCAGCAGATCCTGGCCTCCAAATGGGGAAAGAGTTTGTGAAGGCGTTTGCCAGCGCTGACTTTGAACTTGCTCTTCGCAGGTCTGGAAGCTGACATGCAGCACAGTCGCCTTCTCTCCTGGCAGCAGACTCTCGAGCCAAGAAGTACGCCCGCCCCGAGTTTGGTGTTTGTGTCTGCGTCTCCAAGGTCAAGGAATTAGCTCCTTAGAAGGCAACAGTACTATGCATGTTATGAATTGTGTCTCCCTGGCCAGCGATAAGGAAAATGGGACTCTCGCCACGCTTGCGGCTGCATTCATGACTGGGCACGCGGCACCCTCTGGGGCCCCCCCACCGCCACCTCCGCCGCCTCCACCTCCACCTTGTCCGCATTCAGGGGAGGGCTTCCCCCTCTCCCCTCCTCCTCCTCTGCCGCCTCCACTTCCTGGGGGACCTCCCGCCCCCCCTCCTCCTCCGGGACTACCCCCAGTGTCTCACGTGAATGGCCACAGCTCCCTGGGAAAGAAGACACGGATGCGAAGCTTTTTCTGGAAAACCATTCCAGAGGAGCAAGTTCGAGGCAAGACTAACATCTGGACCTTGGCGGCCAAGCAGCAGCAACACTACCAGATCGACAAGAAGACCATCGAGGAGCTCTTCGGGCAGCAGGAAGACACGTGCAAGGCTTCTCTCCCCAAGAGGGGAGGCGCTTTGACGTCGTCCTTCAGAGATGCCCGGGAAGAAGTAAGAATGGAGCATGGTGGGTGGGGGAGGCTGTGGCCCCTTGGCTTTGTGCTGGAATTGACTTTTTCAGATAATTTGGTTCATTTCACTGGGGGATGAGAGCGCAGGCTAGCTGCGCCCTGGAAGCCACAGGAAGGGCTCACGGGGGGGGGGGGGGCTGAGCAGCTGAGTATGCACGAGCGAGCGGGGTCCTCCCAGACATCCCTGTGAATCATGACCTCATACAGTGGGGGCTGCTGGCCCTGGTCCCCAAACACCACCCTGTCGCTAGCAACTCTGCTGCAATCTGCTCAAGGGACAAGTTCAGCTGGAGCCTGGACTCTGTAGCCCCCCCCCCCCCCGCACGGCCGCGGCCCGGGGCCCCGCCCCCCGGGGGACGCGCGGCCCCCCCCCCCCCCCCCGGGATCAGATGCCTTCTAGGCCGGCTTGGGGTTTCTTTCCCTCTCAGGCACAAGTGTTTTGAGTGGCCTCCATGCCTCAGATCTCTGAATTAGATCATGACCTTTTCAGGGATGGGTTTCTAAAGAGCCAAACATTAAGCTCCTTTCAGACAATTTCAGACAGTTTTTATGAAGCATGTTTCCAGTTAACACTAAATGTGTTCCTTTTAAAGGGGGAACTGGCTGTTAAGTCACCAAACACATAACTCAATGTAAATCCTTTGTTTTTTAATCTGTTGTAAAGAAGCCGAGAAAATAGGTCATCAAGGAGCTGCCTAGATAAGGAAGTGGGCAGGGCCCCGGGTGAAGTATTTGCTCCATGCATTATTGAGTTCTTGAGCCAACAGTCTTGACCTCCTTTCTCTTCCTGGCTCGGGAACATGCGAACGCCTTCCACCAGGCCCCAGAGGGCCCTTTAAGCTAGTTGTATGATCTCCCCTGAAATTGCTGAGAGCATTTTTTTTAAAAAATACAGGGAACACAGGCACTGCAGTTGCTATGACAAATAAACTCTGAGGAAATTGGAAGATGGAGTCATTAGGAGAAGCTATGGTGTCTTCAGTACTGGCCACAGGTTTCTCTGTCTGTCCCTTCAGTTGGTCACATGCCCTTTCAGTATTGGAAGCGACTCAGGAGTCACTTCCTTAGTACCCTGGCCTTGGCCCAGCTTGCAGCAGAGGTGGCTGATTGCGCTGTCCGTCACGTCTCACCCTTGTCTCCTAGTTCTCCGTGTGAAGGTGACTGGACAGGTGCGTGTGGACAGGCTCAAATGTCCCGAGAGTCACCCAGAGCAGACGGGTTGAGCATAGTGCGCCCCGGGAGGCAGCCCTCAGCTGAGCGGAGCATCCTCCTCCAGGAGTGGAGGAATTCAGGGAGTTAAGGGCAGCTTGGTAAGGTAAAGAGCAGACGACAGCGCCTGAGGGAGGAAGCTGGCAACCAGCCCGGTGGATGGCTCCCAGTCATGACAGAAGGGAATAGTCCAGATCCAGGCCAGATCTGAGGCACAGGAGCGAATGTCTTCCCGTCCACTTTCTTCCATCTCTGCAGCCTATGTCACAGGTTTTTATATTTTTCCTTCAGCTTCTCTTTTAAAAGGGTTATTTTAAAATAGTATGTGTGTGTTCCTTTGAACTGAGGAGTGCTCAGATGCCACCCTGGTGGGTGGAGGTCGTAGATCTCTGTTGGTCCTTTTGCCTTTCATCTTCTTTGAGACAGGGTCTCTCTTGTTCACCACGACTTAATGTCTAGCCAGCTGGCCCAGGATTTCCACAGATTTTCCTTCTCTGCGTCCCAATTCCACAAAGGGGAACTTGAGCTACCGTGTGCAGTACGGTTTTGCATATGTGTTCTGAGGGTCCGATCAGGACAATGGACTGCCAGGAGGCCAGGCTTGTCTGGCCAACACTAACATTTTACCAACCAAGCTATCTCCCTAGCTCTAAAAACATATATTTTAATTTTTTAAAAGATCTGTTCATTTGCTTTTTATGTGTGTGAGGGTTTTGTTTGCTTGTGTCTGTGTACCATGTGGATCTGGTGCCCTTGGAAGAAAACATTGGAATAAACTGGACTTAACAGATGGTTGTGAGCAGCTTTGTGTGTGCTCACCACACCTGGTCCTCTGTGTGAGCCTCGAGTCACTTTCACCACTGAGCTGTCTCTCCAGCCCTTGATTCTGTCGTTGCTGTTGTTGTTTAGATCCTGAGAATGGAATCCAGGGCACTGCACGTGTGAGGCAAATGTTCTAACACTGAGCTGTACCCCCTGCCCTAACACAAATACTTCTTTGTAAATTACACATAGAATTCACTGCCCTAACTATTGGCTGACTGGTACCTAGAGCATCCATGCTGAGCTGCAAACACCACCATTCACCCTCAGAGTGCGCTCACCTGCGGACCTGAGCTGCATACCCATCAAACAAGGACTTCCCAGTCGCCCTCCTCTGGCCCTTGGCAACCCCATTTTTCTTTCTGTCTCTGTGACTTTTACTACTCCAGGTACCACATAGAAGTAGACCCTGTGGCGTTTGTCTTTTCCTGGCCGACTTCTTTCTCTTAACCTCATGTCCTCAAGGTTCATCCAAGGTGTAGCGTGTGTCAGAATCGGGTCCACACCATGTTCCCTTGTGCGCTTGGACCACGTTTTGCTCTAAATTCCTCCGCCCTGGATAGCTATGCTGCTTCCGAGGGTTATGCTGCTGCTGCTGTGAGCACTGGATGCAGAGATGGTACTTTTGACACTTACAGGTGTCTGGCGCTAAGAGATAGCATGTGAAAAGGTGAACATGGCCAAGTGCCAAGAGATTGTCCAAGCCTCAAGCCCCTCATTATACAGGAGTGGGGTTAGTTTCAATTTTCTACATTACCTTCAGCATGACTGAAGCATTGGGTGTGCTTTTCTTGTGGAAATAGCCTGGTGTTTGCCATTTTCTTTCCTACAGAAGCTATAGCTCAGCAGGACTACACTCTGACAAAGATCAGCCATAAATCTTCCAGCTCACCCTGCCAGTGAGTGGAGTCCAGGGTCAAAAGCTGAAGGCCCTCACCCTGTGTCTCGGACACCTGGAGAACATGCTGGCCTGCGTGTTCCTCGGAGGCCTACTCCTAACCCAGACACGGGACACTAGCTCGTCACAACAGGCCATAACTCTAGAGGTTCAGACGTGCAGAGGAGCAGGTTGGGTCTCTGTCATATCATAACCTCATGGTTATGGCCTGATACTATATGATTGGCTTTCACTTTAAAGGGCCTATAGAGATTACTAGAAAGTTCCATTGTGCTCCAGAGGAAGAATTTGCTGGAGGGTAGGGAAGATGTTGGTTTGGGAATGCCAGGCATAGAAAGAGCAGCACTTAAAATAGCAAATTGGGGGAAGGAGGTTGTGAAGTGCTACTATCCCTGTATCCTTGTTACTAAAAATTAACCTGAGAGATCACAGGTGTGATGGTGTCGCAGTAATTAGGCTGTAATGAAGCAATGGGAGATACCCTGATCCAGTCTGAGGTCCTAATAAAAGGTTCAGCACAGCCCTCATTTCAGTTCACCGATGCCATCCTGGGGAAGCTGCCAAGCTCCTGCCCATCCATTCCAGGTGTCCCACGTCCTCAGCTCCGGCGTTGGTTGGGTTTCTGTCTGTCTTTATAATCTGAGGAATCCTTTAGACGCTATTTTGTCTTTTTAATGTTTACGGATTGATCGCATGTGTTAGCCCATCTGCGTGCACGCGACATACATGCAAGAGCACCCAGAGGCCAGAAGAGGGATTCAGACCCCTGGAACCGAGTTCCAGGTGATTGTGAGCTGCCTAGTGGCTGCTGGGAACTGAACCTGGATCCTCTGTTAGAGCAGTGAGTGCTTTTAACCGCTTCATCTCTACAGCCCCACTGAGTGGCTCTTAAGGATGACAATATGGCTTATCAAGTTGGTCAACTGTAAAGAAAATGAAAGAAGACTAAAGCAAACAGAACTGACCCAGGGTGAAGGACCATCGTCCTAGGTGAGGACAGAGCAGAAAAGGGGGCAGGCTCACCAGCTGTCATTTAGCATGGTGACTGTGTGATGCTGAGTGAATGTTGAAGAGCAGGCGGCAGACTGGAAGAAGAGGACAGGAGTGAGAGGAGAGGGAGGAGGAGGTAGGAGCAGGGAGGGAGGCTGCAAGAATGAGGGCTCTTTCTGGATCCGTGAGCAATGCTGCCTCATCCTCCCACGCCCTCATTTGGGAACCAGTTACTCTCCTGTAGCCATGATTGCATTCCCAGGGCGTCTTGAGAGGCTGGGATGTGCTCACATTCCAGAACTGTAGAACTAAATAGAGTGTGGATTAAAACAATACATATGCTTCAGGTCTCTTTCCCTCATAAAATAAAGGAGCTCCCATCGATAGCCAGCCAAAACTAAGACATGAAAAGCCATCAGAGACCAAAGTGACGTGAAAGCCTTTACCTAAACGAGGAAGATTTAAAATTGTTTTGCTTTTCAGTTTTGAATGGGGCGGAGTTAGCCACTGTTTCTGACCAGCCTATGTCAGGACGCCCCTTTGATGCAGTGAGCTGAAAGTGGTTAAAGGGTTGAGACTTAGCTCACCATTCGAGAGCCTTCTTAGCAGTGCTAGACCAGCGTTCAGCACCAGGAAACCAGAAACCTGGACCACAGCACCAAGGGAAACACACCAAGGGACTTAAAGGTCCTTTTCCTTCCACCTTGAAAACACACTAAAGAAAATAAGCCCTCCACACAGGGGGATTCTAACTCTGCCTATAAGAGGTGTCTCGAGGGTTGGAGAGATAGCTCAGTCAGTAAACTGCTTGCTGCAAAAGCAGGAGGACCTGAGTTCGATCCCCAGGACCCACGTGAAAATGCTGGGTGTGGTGGTGCATGCTTTTGCTCGTGACACTGGGGGTGGAGACAGCTGGATCCCTGGGCCTCACTGGCTCGTCAGTCTAGCCCAGCTGGTGACTTCTAGGCCAGTGACAGACCGTGTTCCTAAGGGTGACTCAGGCAGTTGTTTTCTGGTCTACACACATGTACACCTGCATATAACTTCACACACACACACACACCTAAAAAATAGAGAGAGAGAGTGGCAAACTCCTGGAGATAGATGTACCAGCCAGCCAGGCTAGGGGGGTGCGGTAGCTGCTATTGGAGTCAGAGTCTTGGTCTTGCAAGGTGTGGATACTTTGAGCTGGATGACATACGAGGTGCCATGTGGACACGCATAGTGCCACTGAGTTGTGCACCTGCAAACGGTCAAATTACTAAGTGTTGCTTCCTACTGTCTAAAGGTACAGGGTACGGGAGGCGGGCTTTGTGCCGGCCTTGAATGACACGCTGACCTTGGGTTCTTCCACTGTCAAAGATACATCATCTGGTGTGGCACATACAGGTGGAGCGGAGGTGACAACGCCTTCATGGCTGGGAGGGCGCTTCCCTAGATTGGGCAGTTTGTCTGCTCTGACTTAGCTTTCCATCCCCTGGGATCTCTGTCAAATGCCGCTGTGCCGTGTCTCCAGCACACCACCAGCCAGTCCTAAAGAACTTTACAGCCGAAACACTAGCTCTGCGGCAGCCAGAGTTTGGGAAGTGAGATAAGCTCCTTACATGGGCAGTGATAACCCTCTTTGAAGGGCTTTAACAAACACCTTTATAGCTGTTGTAAGGATCCTGTTTGATAAGGCAGCAGAATCAGCCACTAGGTAAATCTGAAGGTGCCAGAGAGCAGGTGCTGCCCTGAAATGCTATCATTTGTCTCTTGTTCCTTGTTTGGGTGAAGCCTTTGTTTTCCTGGTAAGCTGATCAGTCGTGACCAGACCAGGCTTTTCCTCAGGAACTGGCCAACTGTGACCAACTTCTGAAACCCCTTGGTCGGTGGAGAACATCTCTTATAGGCTTAGAACTGCCCTTGACCTGAGCACCCCCTTTGGGGTGCTGCCTCTTTGGGGTAGCTTAGGTTCCTGGAGTCTATGTGAGAACATGACGTCACTTGAGATTCCACACTAGACTTGGCCAGACACTGTGGTTGGCTGCTTTTCTCAGACCTGTCGCTATTTCTGAAGAGACCTTTGCACCTTGGTGTGGGAGGGGCTACGTTTACTGATCACATAGGAGACCCGTGAGGACTAAAGTCACAGGAACAGAGGAAGAAGGATCGCAGGGAACCAGGCTGACACTGTTCCAACACTGCTTTGGGGAAGCCACAAAATGAAATCTCTGAGGCGCAGTTTCCTTATCTGTCAAATTGGGATAATAAGAGTAATTTCTCCCTTTGCTTCAGCAGTGGTGGCTATGGCCCTATGCCAAGTATTCAGAGCTCCAGAGGGTGGAAGGGTGAACAGGATGAGGGTGGAGCTGGAAGGGAAGGGGGCAGGGAGGATGCTGCAGTCCAGGATTAAACACAGCAAGAGGTGGCAATTTAGCGAGAGAATTGTACAGCAGGTTTCCATTCTGGGTAGACACGTACACAACCGTATCAGTGTTCATGTCTGTACTTGTGGCTTTTCATTTACAAGTCGTAATGACCAGTTTTCTGTCTTAATTAATTGAGAGTCCTCCGTCCTGGAGGAACGATCCTCCTTAGAGGGTTAGGTTTCACAGGCTTAGTCCCTTTCTTTCTCTTCCTTCACACTGAACTTGAACTGCAGCCCCTGGGTAGGAGTCTGTTAAGGAGGGTGCCCTCTCAGTTTGGAAGCTTATTTTATGGCTGGCAGGTGATTGTGTTAACATCAAATAAACCCGCAGGTTAGTAAATAATGAGATTGTTTAAGACTGGTCTTCAAAAGGAGACAACCATACCTCGTAAAAATTTAACCTTACAGCCAGGAAGCAGCATTAACGGCCTTGCTGTCGCTGACAAACATGAAGCCACCCAGCGATGCAGAATTTGGTCTGAAGCCTGATTCTCGTTTGTTCTCAATGAGTCTCTCTGTTGGTCTCTGTTTGGTCTGCCCCCTCCCCCTTTACCAAAAGGCAAATGGAAAAGATGGAAGTAGTTTTAGGTTGTCTTCTGCTTCCAGAGGCAGAAATCACTTGTCAGCGAACCCCTAGAAGTTCTCATCTATAGTTTAATAAAAATCTTCTCAAATTATTTTTGAACATTTAAAACTTGTTACAATTCAATTTGGGGTTTGATAGTACAATAGGATAGTTATAGCAGCATTTATTAAGTCAAAAGATGCTGTATAATGCCAGGTATGGTGGTGCCCACCTTTAATCCGACCAAGGAGATCCCTGGGATTTCGTGGGTAGCCTGGTCTCCACAGTAAGATTACATGGTATCTCCTAACTTGGAGACAGAAAAAATGTATGAATTGAGACTTCCTGTAAAAGACAATTTTTTAAAAAGTTCTCAGCAAACAAGCTGTAGGATACTTTTTCTTTTCCTTTCTTTCCTTCCTTCCTTTCCTTCCTTCCTTCCTTCCTTCATCCTTCCTTCCTTTCTTTTTTAAGACAGGCTCTGACTGGCCTTGAATTTCTGATAATCCTCCTGCCTCAACCTCTGGAATATGAGGATCACAGGCGAGCACCACTCGTGGCTACGATACTTCCTTACTTTCTCCTAAATGAGTGATTTACATCTGTAAATCAGAGCTGGGGCCAATCTCAGCAGAACCATTGCTTTATTTTGCCATTTCAACCCTCATGTGATTCTTGCTATGCTCATATATCTACTTAGGCTTTTAAGTATGGGCTGTATGCAAAAGAAAATTTTAAATAAATTTTAAAATAAAGCATTTATCTATTAGTATGTATATACTAGTATAGTAAACACATCCTGTGTATTGTTTTAGGACTAGAAGCCAGGGCCTACACGTGCTGGAAACATGTTGTACCGCTGAACTACCCAGTCCAAGTATGATTTTTTTTTCTTTTTCTAGAGGAGGTGGTGGTAGGGCTACTATCACGTAGACCAGGCTGGACTCCAACTCACCATGTAGCTTAGGCTAACCTTGAACTCCTCCTCTTATTTCCGAAGTGTTAGGATGACAGGTGTGTGCCACCACACCCAGTGGTGTGTGTTTTTACTGCTAAGGAAAGACAATAAAAGCTTTCCATAAGACTATATTAGGAACATGTGATAATTATCATATTTACATATTAGAAATTGTTCCCTTGTACATCAGTATTGTACTCTGACTGGTTTTTAACTCTCTTGTTTCCTCCAGCTGTTTTTTATTTCATTTTATTTTTAGTCAGTATTATTTTTATTATTTTAGCATTTTGAGACAGGGTCTCTCTTTGTAGCCCTGGCTATGCTAGAACTCACTATGTAGACCAGGCTGACCTAGAACTCACCGAGATCAGCCTGCCTCTGCCTCCCAAGTGCTGAGACCAAATGCGTGTGCCACCACACCTAGGCTGAGCTGTATTTATTCAGTCTTAAAATGTCTTATGCATCTGTTTCTTTCCAGATTACCGTCTTGGACGCAAAGCGAAGTATGAACATTGGGATATTTCTTAAGCAGTTTAAAAAGTAAGATTTGTGTCCTTGTCTGGAATTTTAGCCATATCCATGCTATGAGGGTGTGGATGAGCTGCAATGCAGATTGTAATCTGAGTTAGGGACATTTCGCACCCCTCTGTGTCAGTCCTAGATGTATGCCTCCATGGTCTACATGTCTGTCTTTGCTGTGAGCTCACAAGTGTCCTGCCATGTCCATTGGAGGCCTGTACATCAAGAAGTGTGTGTGTGTGTGTGTGTGTGTGTGTTTTAAATTCTTTGACAATTTCATATACGTAGACACAGAGTTTAGGCATTATTACCCTCTCTCATTCCCCCTTGCCCCTGAGACTGTTCACTCCGACAAATCGTCTTCTCCTTGGCTGTCTTTTTTGCTAAATCTACTGGGTTTAATTATGGTTGCTTACATGAGTGGGGAGTCATTTACGGCACCTGAGTGGCTTCTCAATGTCTACACCACTGAGAAAGATGCCCTCTGCCGCTATCCCCAGTCATTGTTCCTAGTGCCTGGTGGTGGGGGAGCTCTTGAGCCCCTCGCAGGGACGGTTCCTACGGTTGGTGGGTGCTGCTGCCTGCTGTCCTGGGATTCCTGGGGACTCCATCTGGAGGAGTGGTTTCCAGGGGTGGGACTGGTGGGCCTCTGGACCAGGGAGAAGCAGATGGAGGGGGCAGAGAGATGTGCTTTTAATTTCTGTAGGTTTGTGTCACTGTTGACAAGGCAGCAAGTACAATTTTCTTATCTCTTCAAGGTCTCCTCAGTCCATCGTAGAAGATATCCATCATGGGAAGAGTGAGCATTACGGATCAGAGACGCTGTGGGAAATCCTTAAGCTTTTGCCGGAGTCAGAAGAGGTGAGGAACTTGTTGAGTCTTGGGGTGTCTGGAGTGGGGCCAGGGGCTACGTGTTCCCCTGAGCATCAGAGGCCCTGTCCAAAGGGCACTGCCCTTCCCAGGACCAGCGGGGTCACATGTAAAAGCAAAGGGGGCGGTCCGGTAGAAGGAGCCAGGCCTGTGGACTCAGAGTCCCTGTTTGCATGGTGCAGTACTGCAACTGAGGAACCGGGCAAGGGCCTGAGCACCTGCGAACTTTAGATTCCTCACCTATAAAGTGAGGACAATGACACTTACCTCATCTGTTCCCAAGATGACTAAGCCAGCATGGTACTTGGCTCAATAAATCTCAGGTTTCTCTTCCATCATCTTAACATTTGATCTTTGCTTAGAATGAACCCAGGTTATAATACCTACACCTTCTTCTTTTTAAAAGAGGAAAAGGAAAGCAGTTTTGGATACTGTAAGTGCAGGTGAGAATTAATGTAGGTGTTTGTGTAATTGACTTAGCAGGGGAGGTTGCTGTGGTCACAGAAAATGCAGTGCTGGGAAGGTAGTAATTTTGTTTGGACCTGATTAGTTAGTTATTGGGTAGTTAGCAGCTCCATAGGAGAAAAGAGAAGAGCAATTTAAAACTTTAAAAAGCATATTTATTAATACTGTGTGTGTTGGAGGGTGAGTGAGCGACATGGTGCCCTTTGGAGGTCAGAGGGCAGCTTTATGGCATTGGTTCTGACCTTTCACCTTTCCTTGGGTCCCAAGCCACAGACTCTGCTCATGCACCAGACTTACAGGCAGCGCCCTTACTCACTGGCCCTAGGCACTAGAACAGCAACTCCATAAACCTCCCCACAATTGTGGTGATACCAATATTCACTTCTGAAGGAAGATTCAGTAAGAATTTCTAAACATCCATCTGCTTACAAACATTGAGACAAAGCAGCACATATTATTCATGTATATCTGGTGACAGAACACTCTCTGTCTCAGATTTTGTTTACAAATGAAGTGTAATTTGCTCAAGTCCAGATTAACACTTGGCGTGTATTAATGTAATTGAAGGGTCTCAAGGTCTCTTAAAGACCACCATTCCTTTGTCGTTTCTCCTGTGTGAAGAATGGGGGCTTAAGAATCTTTGCTAGGATGAGTTCGGGTCTAGTCAATTTGAGTCTTTCAAAGAGTCTTTGCTTTCAGCTGGGGCTCTAGCTTGGAGCGCCGCCCTGGCATGAGTGCAGCCCTGGTTTGAGATTGTATTCCTGCATGGCCCCAGTCCTCACCCTCATAGGACTTCTCTAAACGCTCACTCCGAACCGACCTCATCGAGATTTTTGTTTGTTTGGTTGTTTGGTTGGTTGGTTTTAAGGGAATATCAAGTTTGACAGGGCATGTGGAGGCGCTCAGAAGGCTCCTCATGGTAAATGAGAGTCAGGTGCGAGGCCTGAGGGAAGCTGCCAGGTTCACGCTTTGACAAGCTGGGACGCTGAGAACCACTGTCTTAATATTTTCATTTTTCATGTCCAGCTTAAAAATGATTAGAAAGCACAGAGAAGTTTTTTGAAAGAGCAAGTAGCTGTCAGAGAGCCTGTAGTTTAAGGATGCTCTTCTGTTTGAGTTTTGTGGGGTATCACTGGAACGGAGACTGCGCTGGGAGTGTGGGGGGGTATAGGTGGGGGTGTGGGGGTGTATGGGTTGGGGGGTGGTATGTGGGTGGGGAGGTGTGGGACAAGTGAGGACGGAATCCCTGAGGGCTGCCCACATCTCCCAGGTCCTCTGGACCAGTAAGTGAATTAATTGCAAAGAAGCCTTGGCTGCTAGGACCCCTGAGGTCCCTGACGCAGGCCGGACACATCCCTGTACAAGGTCATCCTCAGTCTAAATGTGTGACAGGCTGGTCACACTTCTTGTTTTCATTCCTGACTCTCAGCTGCAGCTCACCATGCCCTCCACACTCAGTTTCAGCAAACACACCCTGCCAGGCACCCCACCCTGGACTTCAGGGTGTCGGCGCTGTGCAAGGGGCTTCAGGGAGGACCCTGTAGTGGTCTACGTGAATGATGAGGGTGAGGCCAGGGAGGAAGCTGAGCCACGTGAGAGAGGGTTAGAGCTTAAGTGTGTGGATGGTCCGGGACGTGACACACTTCTCATTGTTAGCGCGGGAAAGGACTCCACAGCTACTGACGCCCTCCTGTGCCAGCCACCAGATGGGACAAAAATGAAACTCACTGACGCTGTATTTACAGCGCTCGGTCCAGTGACTGACAGAGAAAAGTCCGTGCGTCACCGAGATGATTGTTCTGTCGCCTTCTGCTCGTCTAGCCTGCACAGGGACCTTGTGTGATACTCCTTATTTGCAAATGGCATGGGCTCTCACCATGGTGTCTCAGGAGCGCTGAGGGATACAGGACAGGTGGACTTAAACCCTAATTTCTTTTTTTTTTTTTTTGAGATTTATTTATTTAATACTTATACAGCAGTCTGCCTGCATTGGGTGCCTGCACACCACCATGTGGGTGCTGGGAATTGAACTCAGGACCTTTGGGAGAACAGCCAGTGTTCTTAACCTCTGAGCCATCTCTCCAGCCCAAACCCTTATTTCTTTGACCCCGAGCAGTTCTCTGTCGCCCTCTGCTACCTTTCTTGGAGGAAAGAAGGGCAAAGGTTGTCAAAGCTGTGTGCCTGACACCACGTGGTCCAGCAGCCTTTTCATCACCTCTGCTATCACAGGCGCTGGTGCGAGCAAGTGTCATTCAAAACCTCCTGTAACCTTATCAGCATGCTGAAAAATATGAGCGGAAACGGTTTTCTGTCCTGCCCGGCCCCACGCCTCCTCAGCTGACAGGCCAACCGAAGCCAAGGCTAATTTGTCATCAGGAATTTCTCTGCCCTTCACCACTTATCTTTATCTGGCATGTTTGTTCATCTTTCCTCCAGTGTGTGGTTAACCCTTGCAGAGGAAGAGGCGGAGCCCCACCTATAAGTCCTGGGGTGCTTTTGTGTGCTATGGCTCCCATGCGGGGAGGAGGCCAGGAGGGGGCAGCTGCCCAGCCTGGTCAGCCCTGCGGTGGGCCACCGCTGCACTGACCATATCAGTGTCCTGGGGACACAGATGGGAGGAGCTCGTCGAGCTGCTAGCTCTGGTGGACACCCCAGCTACCCCATGCTGAGGGCGAAACCAGGGCTCCCTGAATGCTGGAGCAGCCCTCTATCACACTCTTCCCTAGTGTCTTCATTACTCTGAGATGGTTCTTCTGTCGGAAGTCCTGCCTGCCTCTCAGAGTCTGTGCGGTAGACTGGGGCAGGGTGAGGAGGCCACCCTTTGCCCTTGTGAATCCTAAGAGCATATTCTGGGCACAGCAGTGGTCATAATGAGAGGCCCTTGGCTCAGCCAGCAGAATTATTCCTAACAGTGCTTAAGGTGTGATTTTTGATAACGATGAGAATGCATAATAATTACATTATCTCACCTCGTCTCCTTCCTTCCCCACCACTGGGAAGGCACTGTAATCCTTCTTAATGAACACAAGGCTTGCTGGGAACTAGAGAAGAGCTATGTACGTGGCATTTAAATTTCTGTCTTCCGGCTCCATTCCCTTAAGATCTATAAGCATGTTTGGCCTTCTGCCTAAGTGATTCTGCCTAAGAGATTCATCCTTTTTCAGTCACAGTTTAGCATATGTTTAATAGAAGTTCTTAGAGTTTACTTAGCATGACCCATCCTCAGGCTCAAGCTTCAGCCTAAAATTTGTGCTGTGGTTATGCATACAGTGAGCATAGGGTCTTCTAAAAGGATTGGCCTCCCTCTGCCCCTGCCCATATATAGTGATCTGTTGAAGTCAGCTCCAGGGGAATCAGAATTCAGCCTAGGGCTGTCTCAGTTCACAAGCCAGGCTTTAGTTGGGGTTGAGCTAAACTGGAAGCATCCTGAGTCTTTCCGTGTGTGTGTGGGGGGGGGGGGGCAAGGCTAAATAATGGTAAATTCACGTTGCAGCCCTTTGCAAGTGGGGCAAATACAATTTTACAAATGGCTGTTTTCTGTCCTAACCAAAAAACAACCCAACCAACCCAAACAACAGCAACAAACCAAAACACAAAAGGGAGAGTTCAGCTACAGAGGTTTGCAGAGCAAGCTGGAGGCCATGGGTTCCACCCCAGCACTGCAAAAATGAAAATGAAGTGAGCAGAGCATCCTAGAGAGAGAGCTAATACCAGAGAGTGAATTTGTACTGTTAGATTTTATATTTTCACATAACAGATAGAAATATTGTAATTTTCTATTTTTCTTTTTGTTTGTTTGGCTTTTTTTTTTAGACAGAGCCTTGCTACGCAGCCTAAGCTGGCCTTGAACTTATCCTCAGCCTACTGTGTCCTTTGCAACAATTTCAGTTGCTTCAAAGGGCTTGAAATCTTGTTGCCAACCATTAAGCAGAGAGCTGAAGAGTGCGGACTTGTAGAGAGGAAGCTCCTTAGAGACTAACAAAGCCGGAGGGTGGCCTCATGGTAGATCTGGCACTTAGCATCTCAAGGCTAAGTGTCACACTGGGTTGAGTGTCCAGCACTGAGATGAAGGAAGAATGTAGAGTTGGTCAGTGATCCCTGTCAACAGTTGCCCGCATGGCTGCATCTGTCCGCAGTGGAACTGAGGTGCCAGTTGCTATGGAGACTCAGGATCTTGTTCTGAGCGTGGTCCAGCCTCCCCCTCTGCCGGCTAGTCCTTAGGCTGTGCAGCTGTGCCAGTGCACACGTGTGTGTGTGTGCGTGTGTGTGCGTGTGTTGGGGGTGGGGATTGGAGACACCTTTTCTTCATTTATGGAGCTGTGACCTTCCTACTGCACAGACCGCTTGTCTTCCGTGTCTCTTCCATTGTAAGCGTTTTTGTTAGAAAAAGTGCATCACTTGGACACCATCTCTTTGCCCATGCCCTCCCTCGCCCTGGACGGCCTGCTGACCACCATTCTACAGTCAAGACATTTCTTAGCTTCTTCTGCGTAGGACAGGGAGCGTGCAGTGCGTGCCTTTCAGCACCGGCCTTCCTTCACCTACCATAACGCCACGTGGCTCCTTCCATTCTGTTACAAAAAACAGGCTTTCACTCTTTTCTACAGCCGAGTGACATGCCGCTGAATATAATTCTGAAGTTTCTTTATCTGTTTACCTGCTGATTGGCCCCTAGGCCGGTTCTATACTGTAGCTACTTCATGGGTAGAAATCTTTACACTGTTCAGTTGACGCTTTTGCCCTTCTTACTACCTGCAGAAGATCCCAGCTGTACTCTCTCCAATAGCGTGTCTAGGCTGGGGTGGAGCCCGGTGGCAGAGCCAACCCCTGGGCTCTATTTCCAACGCTGGGGGAGTGGGGTAGGGTCGGGGGCAGTAGCCAGGTAAGATGTCTCAAACCTGTCATCCCAGCATTCGAAGGCTGAGGCAAGAGGATCAGAAGTTTGAGGCTGGCTTAGGTTAAATAGCAAAACCCTATATCAAAAGAACAAACAAAACAAAAACGGTTACTGTCACTTAGATCCACAGCTTGCTGCCTTGTTCTGAAAGAAATTAGTAAAGAAAAAAAAAATGAGCTCATTTAGTTCAGCCACTAAGAGAAAAAAACCTAATTTTTCTTCCCACTGGTGCCCAAGGCACTCTTGGACTTTGTGGAAAGCCAGGAGGCAAAGTGCCAGAGATGTGTGGATTTAGCTGGGAGCTTTGCCTGCTTCGGGCAGGGCAGCGTGGGCCCCGTCCCTCTGGTGTTCTTGCAGGAGGCCATTCTCATTGTGGAGGCACTAGTGGCCTGTAGGATTTAGTCTCCTCCATCCCTCTGTTGGGTTCTGCATCAGCATAAGCTCCGGCCACAGCATCTGCCCATCCAGCGCAAGACCCAGCCTAGGACTCTGTGGTAGGATGCTGGCTAGTGTGCTCAGGGTCCTGAGCTCATCCCTGATAGAGAGACTGTAAACAAGCAAGCAAGCAGATAACAGTTGTAGGTGTGGATTTCCTTTTCTTTTTCTTAGAGCTACATTTTATTAATTTGAATTTTGTACTGAAACATTATTTCTTAGAAGGATTCTAAGATGAAATGTAAAGTAATCTTGATTTTAATCAACGGTTTGATGTTTTGCCCTCTCCCCTTTCCTCTGTCTTTTAGGTAAAGAAGTTAAAGTCATTTAACGGCGATGTGTCCAAGCTCTCGCTGGCAGATTCATTTCTGTACTGCTTGATTCAGGTGCCAAAGTAAGGATGTAGTCCCCTGTCGCCATTCTCTGTGGGTGGGGCTGCTGCCGACTTTAAGGCTACAGCTTTGTTTTCTGGTTGCTTTTTAGCTATTCGCTTCGGATCGAAGCCATGGTGCTAAAAAAGGAGTTCATGCCATCTTGCTCTTCTCTGTACAAAGACATAACGACTCTAAGGACGGCTACCAAAGGTAACTGAATATGTGTTTCTACAGATAGTTTGCTTTTGTCAACTTTGGTAGCCGTTTATCTTTTTAAGAAAAATTCAGATTCAGTTAGAAATGGAAAGTCCCATTTTTGGATCACCTAAAAAAGACAAAGGTATAGGTAGGACGCAGTGCGGGTAATGAGCATTAATTTGCATATTATTTTTCCATGGAAGAAAGTTTCTTTCATCCCAGGCTTCAGAGTAAAGTTGCAAGTTGCGGCCTGTCTTGCTTCTCGGCGTGCTTAGCGTTCTGTGTGTGTGTGTGTGTGTAGATGGTATGAGTGCATGCAGTGTGAGTGTGTGTGTGTGTGTGTGTGTAGACTGTGGCATAGTGTGTGTTGTGTATATGTATAGAGTGTGTCTGCGTTATGTTTACATGTAGTGTTTGCGGTATGTGCTCTGGATTGTGTGTACTGTATGTTGTGTTTGTGTGTGGAGTTTGGTGTATAGTGTGAGGGCTGCGATGCTGGTGAGCGAGATACAGTGTATAGTGTGTAGGTGTGTGTTGTCATGTAGGCACAGTCCCTATGTCCTGGGCCGGCTTCATCATCTGGGTGACTGGAACCAACCTGCCAAAAGCAGGCAGACTCTCTCCCCAGGATGCAGCCCTGTCCTTTCCTGCCTGGGCTCCTGAGCTCTCTGGACTTCTCCCACCTGCCGCCCCTCTGGACTTCAGTGAAGTCAGAGATGTGTCAGGTCTGTGGAGTCCCTGATCCAACACTGCTTTTCCCGCCCCGCCCCCTCCCAGGCTCTGCCTCCCCAGGCTGCCGCCTTTGTCTCTGGCTTTTGTGAGTGAAGGTTGGCACAGGCGGGTCCTCCCGCCCTCCCATCTCCAGCCCTCACCAGAACCAGCCTGGTTCCCTCCCAGCGACTTGTCTGGTTGTTTTTCTAGTCCTGTTTGATGTTCCTGTCCAGTTGCTCTTGCGCTTGGCGAGAGGAAAGCTCTGCTCCAGCCCTCCGCATTTTCTTCGTGTTGGAGCAGCATGAGGAATGAAAAGGAATTTTTCTCCTTCCACGCGGAGACCTCCTACAGTCCTTTCCACGCTGACGTTATTTGTTGCAGTGACTGGGAAAGGACTGAGCCTTCTGTTCAAATGGGAATGGAAGCATTTGTTTTCGTATTGAGCAATATAAATTTGTGGGCATGGAGGAAACGTTTCTTATCTGTGTAACCTTCCCAAACTGGCCTTCTTAGATAACAAAATACAGGCACTGATCCAAATGTAATGTTTTGAAAGTACTGCCAGACTTGGTGGAGAACAGTGACCTGTAAGTAGCATAGGTGACATTTTATTACCTCCGCTGTCATTTTAATCACCAAGCATATCTTTTAGCTTTCCAAATATATAATCTCAATTGTGTTTCTTTCTAAGAGACTGTGGTAATAATTACTTTACCAATATGCTACTGTGGTTCCCTTCTAAAGCCTTCAGCCAAGGCAAATGAAATGTTCTTTGAATAAAATGGAAAGATGTTCTGAGTACCAGGGGCCCGAGGGTTGGTGGTTTGCAAGTTATTTACATGACATCCCAGCATGTTTATTTTTTATCTTTTCATAACTCATTGGCTAAGCAAAATGTCGCTGGCTGTTGGTTTTCTTGTTTCATGAAAACAGTCTCAAAGAATTGTGAATAAAGGGAAAATAAACTGCTGAAGAGGGGATGTCTGTCTCCACAGCACACTGTTTCCTTGGGCTGCTGTGACTTCTGGGACTTGGAAACGCTTAGGGAACAAGTCTGTATTTAACTGCCCTGAATGTTTGATCCCCATTAAACACCAGGACATAGATCGTATTATATTTCTATTATCGCCATAGACATAGTTACACTGAGGGAGTGTTTGGCTTGGGGTCAGAGCTTGCTTCGGACATACTAGAAGCTGGCTGTGGTGGCCGCCCTTTGTGTGTGTGAGGCCTTCCTAAGCTACAGTGGTGTGTTCCTTTTGACAGAGCTGATGTCGTGTGCGGAGCTGCATTCGATATTACACTTGGTGCTGCAGGCTGGGAATATCATGAATGCAGTAAGTAGAACCGAGATGGACCTGTGCCTGCCGAGTCACTGCTGGTCTCAAGGCTCAATGCTTTTCTTGTCTTTGTCAGGGAGGGTATGCTGGCAATGCCGTGGGATTTAAGCTGTCTTCTTTACTCAAATTGGCGGACACAAAAGCCAACAAGCCTGGGATGACCCTTCTGCATTTTGTCGCTCAGGTGAGTGAAGCAGAGGGGAATTCTATGAATGCCTCATGAGGACGGCGTGGTTGTCCTAGGCAGGAGGTGCTTTCTCAATTAGGTGGAGAACAAGGAGTGTGCCAAGAAGACTCTGGTTCTGGAGGCTCTGTGGCTTTCCAGTTTGAGCTACTGGATGGGACTGGGCAAGTGAGGTAGTGAGGCTAGATTCAGACATCGGAGCTCATGCTTTAGCCAAGGGGAGCAGGCAGGCGTTTGCAAGGTGTAATGGCCTGAGCAGGCTTCCTGTTTTAAGAAAATAAGACACAGCGAAGAAGTTGGAGAAGAGCCAAATCTGGGAAGACATCCTGGTGGTAGCTGTCTGGTTTGGTGCAGGCTGGAAAGGGTAGCCACCGTAGGGATAGTGAGCTAGGCTGGAAAGGGTAGCCACTGTAGGGACAGAAAGTAGAAGGCCGCATGTTGAACCGTCCATTGTAAGATGGACTTCATCAGTGAACAGTCTCTTAAGAACTGTGCATTGGTGCGCTGTCTATTATTGTAGATTTGAAGTCTGACTCTATCTATGGCTTCTTTTCTTTGGAATCTGGGTGTGGAAACCAGGGTCCTACCGTGCAGGGCAAGCATACTATCAAGAGTTTCCTCACCCCCAGCCTCTAGGCCTCAGTACTTGACTGAGAAGTCAATATTCAAAGTGCTGAAGTGAGAAACTGTTTCCTTCCCTAGCTTGAGATGATGTGTGTGGCTCTGTCTGACAGACTTGGGCGCTGGCTGTAGGTGGCTTGGGTCTTGTTCCTGCAGGAAGGATCCCCTAAAGGTTCCTTCCCACTTGCCTTTCCCAAGTCAGCCTCCAAGCAGCTGAAGAATCCAGCTCCTCAGCTTGTATGCCTCTCATTACAGATGGTTCACAGACTGGTTTAACAGCCAGAAACCTCTCACGCCTTCATGGAAGAGCGCGCTCACCGAGATGGCTGGCATTTAGGCAGCATATATTGGGTTCTCGTGGAAACAATGGGCACTGAGCTGCTGCCTCATTCCATTGAGGTTCAAGGCTCATGAGTTGAATTTCATTTGGGGATCGTTTGTCTTGGGAAAGTTAAATGTATCTAAACAGTGGGTGCAGTTCTGGTAAAGCTAAGGGAGAATATCAGAATTCATGTCTCAGGGATCTGCTTTTAGTGTGCAATCTGAAAACCAAGACTCCCCAGAGCTCTGCGGGAATGGGGCTTCCCTCCCAGGTTAGCTCTGAGGGAAGAGGGCTTCCCTCCCAGGTTAGCTCTGAGGGAAGGGGGCTTCCCTCCCAGCTTAGCTCAACTGGTTTGAGAAAGTCTGTTTTTGTTCCAGGAAGCCCAGAAGCAAGACGCCGTCCTTCTAAACTTTTCTGAGAAGTTGCAGCATGTGCAGGAGACGTCAAGGTAAGCACAGAGGCCAAGCGTGTTGTGAGACTTGGTTTCCTTGTCGGCCTCCCCATGAAATGGTGGGGTAGTGAGCACTCTCGTTCCAGTCTGAACTCTGAAACATCTGAACTTTCGGCCTTCCTTTCCATGTGCTGGGTACGTGTGTGTGTGTGTGTGTGTGTGTGTGTGTGTGTGTGTGTGTGTGTG